CAGAGTATCCGGATCTACGCTCGTTATCGAAAGAGTTATCTACTTGCCCGTGACTTTGGGATCCGTCGAGAGGATAATACTGTTTGTCGTCGTACATAAGCTGCACGTTGACGCCATCCTAGGCCAAAGACTTCAGAGACGTGGAGAACTTAGATGAGAACACTGTAGCGCTGACAGACACGGGTGAAGTGCCCCCCCCCCTCGGATCTCCTCGAGTGCAGGGATCTTACTTGTCGCGAATCTTGTCTACAATCAAGATCCGTTCTGGAGGACAAGCTCTCGTGGTAGCGGATGTTTAGGGTCAAATGATTGACGGTACTACCGTTCTGGTAGAAGGACTTGCCGCATTGGATGACTCGGTTAAGGTCGCTAGAACTCTGTCTACAGTGCATAGCGACCAAGTAATCGTGGAAGTGTGCAAACTCTCTGTTGAGGACGCAGTCGTCAAGAGAGGTACCCGGCTGGCGGGTATTACAGTGATCCCCAAAACCGTGTCTTAACTAGGGACTACAATGAACGTTGGACACGGGGCTGCGAAGTCTGGCGAGGCCCAAACAATTGACCAAGAATCACAAGGTACACTCAGTCATTAACGCCGCTAGAACTGCAGCAAATATGCGAAGGCGTCCGTACTTGAACTTGATTGAGTGCTTAAGGAGGAGCTCGAGATCGACGTAGAAGAGTCCAAGCTGGGGATCGAACAAAAGGAACTGCTTACGGAGCTCCTCCAAGCGTTCAGGGACATGCTCGTCGAGACCTCGATGCGCCCCGGACGTACTAGCCTACTTGAATTTTTCGACCGACACTGGTGACCGCCAGCCAATAAAACAACCCCTTACCGGGTGTCCAAGGCGAAAGGAGACGTCATGGAGTCGGAAATACAAGAGAACTTGAGTCAAGGACTTAAACGACCCTCGTCTAGACCTTGGGCAAGTCCAATGCTTCTGATCTGCAAGCCTGATGGAGGGATTCGGTTCTGCATCGACTATCGAAGGTTGAACGCCGTCGCTATCAAGGATTGTTATTCGATGGCACTCATTGACAATATTTTGGATGTACTAGGGAATGCTAAACTGTTCTCTACGATGAACATTGCGTCCGGCTACTGGAACGTCTAGATGGCGTGGAGAAGACAGCCTTCACTTGCAAATATGGCTTCTTTGAGTGACTCGTGATGCCATTTGGACTGTGTAATGCAGTAGGGTGATAGCAGAGAAGAGGCTGGGGACAGTGGTGGTGTTCGCTTAGGGAGCTGTGGGTGGAATTGTTGTGTGCAAGCACTTGTGATGTAGAAACTAACTCGAACGAAAAGTATTTGGGTTGAAGTGGTCGTTGCGTACGTAGATCACGCAAACTGACTTGCTCACATTAGCAATTGAAAATGACATTACAAACTTTTTTCATTTAAAAATGTACTGAAGTGCACATTTTCATAGTTGAGGACGTATTGTTGTGGCATTGTTGCGAGAACAATGCAAGAGAACAGTTTTGTAAAGCACACTACCGGCTCATGTTAATGTAAGTGCGGGCTACGATCTCTACTCGGCATTTTGTCGATTAGTACTCTTGTGGTTTTTGTTCTCGTGATCAACCTCTACAAAAGTGATATTTAAGAGATACTACACATGTGTATGTATGAATTTATGTATTGCGTCAAACTCGGCGTAGACGCCACTTTTTGCTGGGTACAGAGTATTAATACTTGTACAGGGGCTCCAAAATCGGTGAAGTTAATATTTTGAAAATATCACCTGTAGACCAGCTAATATAAAAATGTTACCTAATATTTTCTTCTGAGACAATATGATAATATTAAATTTCAACTTAATATTAGCTTATACGATATTAATTTTTTTAATGATTGTGTAAACGGTTTAAATCCACCAACCAGATGTCGTTAACGTTTGACTAGCTGCAGTATTACTAATCAACCGTGAGTCCGGGACAATTGTGAGAGTGACGGCAAGGTTGGCGTCGTGTGTTGGCAGTGCCAGTACTTGGCACTGCTGAGCGCATTAATCTGGCGTTACAGGCTGTAGGTTTATTAGACGCACGATGTGGACGGGGCTATCGCTAGAGAACAAGAGCATGTGCCTAATTTTGCTCTATAGACATTAAACAAGCAAGCGTTTGCAGTTTTCCATCTCGATCGCCATTATCTGTGTCACAGTGAAATACTAGAGCAGATACTCGTCAGTCTGAGAGCCTACTGCTGTTCTAGAACCTGACCGAAAGAGTTAGTGGTCCAGGGCGGCAAGAAACGTACTTAAGTGGGAAAATACCATAAAAGATCTAAAAAAATTCAAATCTCCGAGTTAATATCAAAATATTATGTTAGCTTTTGAGAAAATGAGCTACTATTGATATCAAACTTTAGAAAATAGTACTCTTACTTTAAAAAAATATCATATAATACTTGGTTACCATTAGCCCCTATCCTTGAGGCGTCCAAATTCTGGCGCAGCCATACATATACGCGCCTTCCTCCATTTCCATTCCGGTGCGACTCGGTGGGAGGGGGGATTATTTAGGGCATAAAAAGGACTAGATCATTTAAATGTAAGCCACCTCCGGAGGTGGCTTACTTTGAAAGTGAGCAGGTCATTGTCAAAAATGTGAGCGTAATCCGAAGGTAATTTTGAGCACGTTTTTTGCAATGTTCGACTCCCCCTAATTACACCTGATTGGACAAATTGCTGATTGTTTTTGGTAGCGAGGGATTTGTCGCATGGCGTGTTTTTAGGTGGTGCCTTTTTTTCCGTGGTCCCTCCCCTGTACCTTTTTTATTAATAGTACAGTACTGCACCCCGTTTTCGCGGGGGCGAACCATTTAGAATTTGCAAATAAATCAGATTTTAGCCTACAAACCTAGGTTTATGAAGGATTCAGGATCATCACATCCGAAAGTTTATCAAAGGTCCAAGTGCGCGAGAACGGGGATGCATGTATCAATGTACGTCAAATTCGGCGACGGCGTGATCAATCGTTTGAGGCGGCCTGAGTAAACGTCTCCAAGTCATAATCATCTTCTCAGACAAATTTAAAGTTTGATCGCGTCTACACCGGGTTTGACGTATCAGTTAGCTGTCGATAAATTTAGTGGATCATTCATCGGCACAGCAACGTACATGCTCACTTTCAAATCTTCTACCTACTACGAAAGTGCATTCAAACACCAACAGCTCCACCTCTTCGCAACCATGGCTCCCTACGCGAACACCACCACCGTCCCCAGCCTCTTCTCTGCTGTCACCCTCGGTGGAAAGGAAGACCCTGTGCAACTCAAGCATCGCGTCGCCCTGGCTCCGCTCACTCGTGTCCGCACAGGTGACGCTGGCACGCCGACGGACCTGGTTGTCCAGTACTACGAACAGCGTGCAACCGACGGGGGACTACTCATCACCGAGGCCACGAACATCAGCCCCACGGCTCGAGGTTACTTCGGCGCTCCTGGTATCTTCAACCAGAACCAGATCGAGAGCTGGAAGCCCGTGACCAAGGCCGTCCACGACAAAGGCGGCAAGATCTTCATGCAGCTCTGGCACACAGGTCGTGTGGGCCACCCACTCAACCAACCCAATGACCAACTACCTGTGTCCTCAAGCGCTACAAGTTTTGTCAATGCCAAAAGCCGGAGCGTCACTAGTGAGGGTCGCAAGGATTACGTGACGCCTCGAGCTCTCGACATTTCGGAACTCCCTGGCGTCGTTGCTGACTATAAACGTGCCGCAGAGAACGCCATCGCTGCGGGTTTCGACGGCGTCGAAGTCCACGCCGCCAATGGATATCTCCTCGAGCAATTCCTATGTGACCGTGTCAACTCACGCAAGGACAAGTATGGCGGTAGCATTGAGAACCGCGCGAGGCTTCTCTTTGAAGTGCTCGAGGCTGTGCTATCGAGTCTACCGTCTAGCAAGGTTGGCATCCGCCTGTCTCCGTTTGGAGAGACTTTCGGCTGCAGTGACTCCAACCCGCGTGAGACCTATGGCTACGTCGTGAACAAGCTAAACGGCTACGATCTGGCCTATCTGAGCGTTATTGAGCGTCGCGGAATGCATACTGACAAAATCGATGCTCCTGAGGGCGGGATAGCCCGCCACTTCCGCAGCGTATACAACGGAGTACTTATAACAGCTGCGGGATATGACCGCGCCGAAGCCATGCAAACCGTCGAGGATGGAGTGGCCGACATCGTAGCCTTTGGACGCGACTTCATCTCGAACCCAGACCTCGTCGAGCGTCTGCGCGCGGACGCGAAGTTGACGCCGTACGACCGGAAGACGTTTTACCTTCAGCCCGACATGCCACTGGAAGCGGGTTACACGGACTACCCGTTCCTCGGCGAGGAGGACAAAGGTGCTCGTTCAAGCGGCTTCGTCTGGGAGGCGTAAAAAGTTTGGCGCACTTTCCTATTCAAACGCCTAAGAAACAGCACGCTTTTCTAAAAAAAAAACGAAAGAGCGATGAGCGAAAAAAAACATTTTGTTTATACTTTCCTTAAAATTCTGTGCTTCGAAATTATTCACGCTTTAGTGACGTCACATATCTGGAAATGGCTCACCAATTCTAAACAAAAGCAACAGATCTACAGTACATATGCTTGGTTTAAAAAAGAACGAGAATTTTTTAAGAAGCGAGCTGTTAGCTTTTCCAAAATGTTGTGCTCAAACCCAAACACCATAATTAGTCATGGCATGACTAATTAGAGTGAACGATGAAAAGTGACATCGAAGAACCACTTCCTTATTTGTAATGATACGACCAGCAAAACCAAATTTAGATAAAGTATTGGTGAGCATTTTGAGAATCTCACGTGTTGAGATTCGCTGCCACTGTGGCTATTATCAGAAGCCGAGGACGTTGTTGCTCTCGAGACGAGACACTTTCGTGGTCTCCATCCAGTTGCTTCAAGCTCCGCGCGTGGCAATATTTTTTCATTTAGAAATTCTCCTCTGGGTCGGTTGGTCTTCTGATACTGAAATCGGATGAAGTTCGGCAAGCGTGTGCGCAGCTTGGCTTCCCCGGAGTGGGCTACGGACTACGTGGACTACAAGACGCTAAAACGCGAGATCAAACTGGCATTATCCACAGAAAACCAAACGCTTGACCAGCGAGTGACGTGGTTCCAGACAATTCTAGAGTCTGAGATGCAAAAACTCAATGTTGCCCACGCGCGGATCCTCGACGAACTGATCATCAGCGGTCTCAAGCCGTTGCAACAGGCGCTGGGGACGCGATGGGTGTTGCCGCCTGCCACCGCTCGGTCGCTGTTGCTGGAAGTTCTCCAGCTGTCGAACCAAGTCGACGCTTTCCGTCGCTTCGTGGTGCTCAACAGCCTTGCACTCGTTAAGATCGCCAAGAAGTTCGATAAGGCTGCGAATGCTGGTCTCCAGGAGACGGAAAACGACGAGGATAGCGATGAAATCTCCACAACTACCGCTCGTCTAAAGGCTCAAGTATTGGAAGATCTCAAGTGCCAGTCGTTCTACGATGGGTCCGAGTTGGATTCACTATGCGATGAGACAGTGGCACTTACAGACCGAGTGATGCTGTGTGTGCTGCCCGACGGCAACTTTCGTCTTGGACCACGTGCGTTGACGTGTCCTATCTGTCTGTGTGCTGACGTCCAAGCGCCCATTACGCTGTCCTGTGCCCACACGTTTTGCTGGTCGTGTCTGTCTCGAGCAGCTCAGCATCGCTTCCGTTCGTGTCCATTGTGTCGTCGAGCGCAGTCCGTGGACCCCCGCGACTACGAGATTGACGGACTAGTGAAGCGCTTCAAGCGGGCTTACGAATTCGTAGAACAGGCGCTGGATGTGGCTCCGTTGGTAGCGAGTCCGATGCGTCAGATCCTTGCCGAGGCTTTCGAAGTGGGCAACGCGTACTTAAGAGAGGTAGAAGATCAGTACGCAGCACTCGCTCCATTGCCGTCGGCTACGTTTGAAGAGCCTCCGTCTACCATGAACAATTTAAAAGTAGATTTGGAGGCAAAGGTGCCGAAGGAGGAGGTGGAACTGGAGGAACCAGAGCCTCCTGTCATCTTTGAAATGGGGGATATTGTTGAGATCCTCCACAGTGAGCAGTGGTACGCGGGTGTCGTGCTGCAACGCAATGAAGATACGGGGGTTAGTGACACGTACTCGGTGCTGTGGTGGGTCAAGGACAAGTCTCAGCGGTTTGGCCAACGAACACCTCGCCATCTCTTACGAGAACCGACCGAAGTTCCTGTCCCCCCTGCGTTGTACGAATATGCAGCTGGAGCGTGGCGGACCGCAGCTACTTGGGCGCTTGAGCCGTTCCGGAGGCTACGATCGCGGTCTGATGAAGGGTTCAGTGACAGGAAACACACACAGAAAACAAGAAACGTGTTTGGATTAGATTAGATACGTGAATAGATTCTGAAATCTTGATATCGTCATGAAATGTGGACGAGTACTACTTGATACCAATCAGCCTAAACGATGCGTCAGAGCTTCATGGATGTAACGTTTGACTTGTGGTCGGTCATGCATGATCAATTGCCACTGATGGAAGGTTAGAGTGTCACGCGACGAAGTTTCAATTCTTATTCCGCTAATGGATCGGATAACGTGGTACCGTCATGATGGCTGCACACCACCAAATTCACCTGAGACCTTCGGGTTCAAGCATCCACAACCGTCTAAGACATGAACTCTTGTAGCATCCGACTAGCGACTTAGTTGGTGCTTCAACACGAGGTTATAGCGATCTACCGCGACCAGTGCAACATTGTTCATAACTCAATTTCCTCTCTACAACAAACCCTCCTTCTCAACTCACAACCATGATCCCTTCGCTTCTCCGCTCCCTACCAGTATTTCTACTGTTGACAACCACATTCAACGCGGAGGCCAAGTCGCCGAGTCTACAAGGTGGCAAGATCACACCCACGAGTGTCCAGGACAGCTCAGGATCACAAGAACACGTAGGGTCCGTGGGCAGCGGTAGCTACGGTAGCAGCGTCGGTGATGGAGCAGTCGGGGCTAAGCACATCCTGCACTTCTCTGACGTCCACCTAAATATCTCCGAGTCTCTGGACAGCAACGAATCTGCTGAGATTCCAATCCAGTACGGCTATGACGCCCCTATCAGTCTGCTGACCTCAGCGCTCGAGTACGCTAAGCAAGTACTTCCCGATCCAGACTTCTTCCTGTATACTGGAGACCATGCAGTCCATGGTGATCCATCGGATGAATACCTCGCTGAAGCAGTGAAAGTCAATGTGGAGACTATGGCCCGATACTTCTCCGGAAACGGCACGCTTAACGCTACGGCCATTTTGGGCGACACTGACACTAAGAGTACGCCAATTTCTATTCCCTTAAACTGTGCTGTAATCGCTATTGCTAACGCTAAATTGCTGTGATGCAGACTATACGATGAGCGTCACTGACCCCTCCAGTGAGGAGAACCCGACGATTGAAGCTGTGTCTCAGGCGTGGAGCGAGTCACTTAGTGCAACGAACCTCAAGGACCTCAACACCCGGGGCTACCTGTCGTATAAGCTCGACGAGAAACTCGTGCTGCTTACACTTAATACAGTACCCTATTCGGTAAGTTATCGCTATTTCCAACTGCATTTTTACTATCCGAAGTAATTCGTTGATCTATACAGCCGAAGCACAAGCCGGACACCACTAACGAGACTGATCCGTTCGACCAGTTTGCCTGGCTGAATGCCACACTCTGGGGTCTTCGCAACGGCAACAAGTTCGCGTATATCGCTGGCCACATCCCACCGATTATCAATGCCCAAGATGGTTCTCCAATGTGGAAACCTTCGTACATCGATTCATACAAGAAGATCGTGACGCAATACTCGGATGTCATCAAGGCGCAGATTTTCGGCCACACGCACAGTGTCGAGTTCCGTCTGCCTCTCACCGCTGACATGGAGTCGCATGATCCAGACGAAGTCATTGCAGCTGATAACAGCGACCAAACTCGCAGCTTGTGCCTCTGTTCATGTCTGCAGCCATATCGCCGCTCTTCTACAACAACCCGGCGTTCATGGTCTGGGACTTTGACCCGAGCACGTACGACCTTATGGACTTCACTGTGTATGGCACCAATATCTCGGACGACAGCCAGACTCTCGATTGGAAGCTGCTCTTCAAGGTCAGCACGGCGTACAATGTCAGCTCGTTGTCGTGGTCGGAGATGAACAGCTTCATCGGGAGCGCAGCCACCGACTCGGCGCTGGTGGAGCAGTATTACTACAATTCACAGACGCAGTCGTATCAACAGACTTCGTGCGAGGACAGCGTGTGTCTTACTTGGTATCTCTGCTCCATGATGTGGTGGTCCACTCCCGAAGACTATACCGCCTGCTTGGCTGCCGGGTCCCGTCTCGAATCGTCGTCAGCCGCGGTGTCTCGATCACCTACGCTTCTCGTCTTGGTCTCAATCAGTATTCTAGCTTCCTGGCTATGAGTTCTATCACCACGACTTGTAGGTTGCAAATAAAGCAATTGTATCCATGTTACAACTTCAATCCGATCAGTACATTTTTCCCAGCATCCACTAAAGTGTAGCCATCTTCCATGAAGGTCGCCTATCACTTAACTCTCTTTCGTATCCAATCAGAGCTTTCTATACCGTTTATTTCAACGAATCACATGTTTGCGCGATAGAAACGGCAGATTCCTCATCAGTCGAGAAATACAAGATCAGTAAGAAATGAGTTCCCCCCCGCTGTCTCCTTCGTCGCCTCCTGCCGTGTCCCCACCTCCAGCCCCCGTGACTCTGGAGCCCGTGAAGGAGCTGCCAAAGGCGCGTCAGATCGTCAGTATCAATGACAAAGGCACCAACTTCATGCTCGACGAGGAAGCGCTGCGTGGCATCTTCCACCAGGTGCCCGAGGACATGAAAGTAGCCATTTTCTCAGTCGTGGGCGCCTTCCGCACAGGCAAAAGCTTCGTATTGGATTTATTCCTCCGCTATCTTCGTCACGCCAGCCACGGACGCATGCTCAAGCCGGACGGTGCTCAGGACGAGAGCACGGAGGTCTGGAAGGCCTGGGTCATGGAAGGTGTGACCGGTAGCGGCGAAGGGAAGCTCGAGGGCAACTCGAACATTGAGGAAACGTATGGAGAGAAGGGATTCAGCTGGAGAGCAGGCCGCAAGCGCAACACCACGGGCATCTGGATGTGGGAGAAGCCATTTATCCGCAAAAGCCAGACGGGCGAGGACATTGCCGTGTTCCTGATCGATACCCAAGGAATGTTCGACTCGGAGACGTCGCAGATGCTCACAGCGAGTATCTTTGGTCTCAGCACGCTGCTGAGCTCGTATCAGATCTACAATGTGGACAAGCGCGTCCAGGAGGACAACTTGCAACATCTTGCTCTATTTACGGAATATGGACGGTGCGTGTCCCATGCGAAGTTAAAATATGACTATTTTATTTTACGGTAATTTATGAAAAAATACCCCGCAGGATGGCGCTGTTTGGAGATGCCACGTCGTCGACGTCCCTGAGTGACAAACAGCAAGCGCTGCAACGTGCCGCGTCGCTATCGGATCGCAATTTGGAGAAATCGTCGTCCACAGTGAGTGACAAGGGCGAGGAGAAGAAGGAAGAGAACGACGACAAAGAAGACGAGGACGATGCCAGTGTCCCGCAACGTCCTCGTCCGTTCCAACGTCTCGACTTTTTGGTGCGAGACTGGCAGGATTTCTCTCGAAACCAGAGTCTGGCCGAGAAACGAGAAGATATGGAACAATACATGGTCGAGCTGCTGTCGTCCCGTAAACAAAAAGACCTGGCGGATACCCGTGAACAGATCAGCTCGTGCTTTGAGAAAGTGGCGTGTTTCCTGCTGCCCCACCCTGGCCACGCAGTGACCGAGCGCGAGTACGACGGATCGGTCGAGGCCATTGACAGCCGCTTCTTGGAGCTGCTGACCGCCTACCTGGACGATCTCTTCGACCCGGTTAACTTGTTCCCCAAGAAGATCCACGGGGTCGCGGTGACCTCGCGGGAGCTCTACACGTATATTAAGACGTACGCTGGACTCTTCCGTGAAGCCTCCATTTTCCCCGAGGCCAAGACGTTGCTGGAAGCCACAGCTGAAGCCAACAACGTCAACCAACGAGACAAGGCTCTGCTCAGGTACAAGCGAGAGATGGAGACGATTGCGGGCTCCAAGTGTCAGTACGTGCCCGTACAGCAGCTGGAGGCGCACCACAAGGCCTGCTTGCAAGGAGCCATGGACGTCTTTGACGATGGGGCTCGTATGGGTCGACGTAGTGAGATCCTGCGCTATCGCCATGAAGTTGCCGAGCAGATTGAGAAGGAACGTCACCGTTATCTGGAGATTAATGCCGAGCGCGACCCGTACAAGAACCTGGAGTTCTATTTGATCCCTGGCTGCCTGGCACTGGCGTTGCTCGTGTTCCGCATCTCGCAAGACTTGTTCTGCTACGAGAGCATCGGATACGATATCCCACTCTACGACTGCAAGTACGTAGCAGTTTTTTAGTGTTATTTTGGAGGTATGTGCACTCATTTGTATCGTTTTTTTTGCTTGGTTGTAGACAAGTGAGCCACACGCTGTCGCACTTGTACTGGGCGTTGATTGTCTTCATGCTGCTGATCATGATGTCGACTGGACAAGTGATGTTCAAGCGCATCAAGACGGTGATTACTATCGTCAAGACTGCGATCGACGCGTCCAAGGAGGATGGCAAGGAGAAGAAGGACTAGGCTGTAATAGTTTGCCACTGGATAGGGACTGTTGCGGGCGTGTATTCTGGTGCGAGGTGGTGGTTGCATCGCCTCGCCTGCGTTGTGTTCATAGATTGACTGCTCATTACAGTATGTAACGTTACTCTGGTCATGGCCTTCTGCTACGAAGCTACTGTACTGTACACACATGATTAACGTCGTACCGATGAAGACTGAAGCCAAGTCTTGTCATGAGGAAACACTGATCGTGCAGCGAAATTATCGAGTGTTCCGCCAGGCCAGATACTTCAACGTTACCCGACTGAAATTCAGTATCTGTCACGTGACACTGGATCTGGTCAATCCAATTTTTCTCGCTACGAGAATCTCGTGGCAAGACGCACAAGAAGTTTACGAAATGGTGGTCATCATCCGTAGTACGTTTGAGATACCTTTACCTTATCATACCTTGACGGTGCTGTCATTGTTGGACTTTGTACCGGTACGTGTAGCTGACGAGGTTGCCGAGCGAGGAAATACCATCGGTCAGTAGAAAACTACTGATCTGTCCCCCAACGCGGCGCAGAAAAGACGGCAATCAGTAGAAAATGATAAAGTTCGATCCGTACCTAACTCTAATCATAGCTACATTTCTGCTGCCTTCAGCAAAACCGCTTTTGCCCTATGCGTACCATGCCTCGAAAGCCGCCTCTGAATTATGGGAGTTCTCCCTTCGTGGTAGATCTTTCTGACATCGCTACAGCTATAATCACGGGTGTTTTGAGGGAGGACGCAAAAGTTGATACCTTAGACCGCTCCAGCCAAACGTATGGGGGAGTATACGTGACGCGAACCAATATTGCAGACACTGAGTTTCCAACACAAATAAGGAAACTAACGACACAAACAATTGTAATCGTTGACTGCTGATTAATAATTAAGGTATTTCTTTCCAATAGATTATCTTACTGATCCTCACTCTCAATAAATATCAGCAGCAAACGGACTGGGGAGTCCATCTCTGTGAGTAGATAGAACTCTACTAACGTACCCTAAGAGTAACCAGTTGGATACGTCGTGTACCCAGCTACTTCAACGTCAACATGTTATTTCGGTGTACTATTTTTTAGCTGCTCAAAACGCCTTTATTTATATGGTTGTTTTTGTGGAGTGCACTTCGGTGGCATTCGCCATTTTGGTCGATGCCTCCGCTCAACCCCCGACAGCGTCACGCCCGAACGATCCAGCGCCGTCTGGACGGCTCCTTCTGGCAGCTTCGTCTAAGCAGAGAAGTTAGCATACCGAACGAAGTCGACCGAGAGCTGGACGCCGAGCGTGCATCGTCCATAGGTGGTGGGTTACGTGACGTTGTCAGTAGAGGAGGAGGTCTTTTTGCAAATGAGCGCCGAGCTCGTAGAGGAGACAATGCTCAGCTCTTCGAGGTAGAAAGAATATTCGCCAAACGGTGGGTCAATAACTTCGTATACTACCATTTTCAATGGGTGGGGTACAAAGAGTTGACGCGGGAGCCAAGTGCCAACGTGCCAGCGCGCCTAAAGATGGTGTTCGAACACGAGTCAGTCAATTTCGTCTGGGTCTATCAATCTACGCGGGGAAGACGAACCCAGCGTCGCGAGCAGCCAGATCGCCGGAGTCAGAGACTGATAGACCAAACGAGGCAGGACTAAGAGAAAATGCAAATGCGAACTTAACACCAAACGAGGCAGGACTATAAGAAAATGCAAATGCGAACTTAACAGCACTCCAGTAGCTGTGAAATCAGTAGTTGTGCAGGCAGCGCCGCGTTGGGGACAGATCAGTAGTTTTCTACTGACCGATGGTATTTCCTCTTGCCGAGCGTTGATGTTGCCGACTAAACTGCAGTAAATTTTCACGGGCATTCAACCATCTGGTCTTTTCTTTTGAAAAAGTGAGAGTCAGAGGAAAACAATAGAGTGGATTGCAGACAATCCTCTTCGGAGTGATACCTAAAATAGTGAAACTCTCCAGGAGGTTTGAGTGTCTCCCGCAGATTGTCATTTATTAATATTGAGAGGTCTTTAAATAAAGAGATTGTCCGTTTGGTGAGCCGAAAAATCTCAGCGAAGACATTTGCTGCTCCGCTTGTATGGGCTCGTCTACGACTACGCTCAGTGTTTAGCTGCTCTCCGAAGGACATCAGGTCTTTAGTGTGCAAGCACGACATCATCACAATAAGCTCATCGGTCTTCAGGATTCACAGCTATGGTGACTCAGAAGACCCGTGAGCTTCCAACAGTTCGCAAAGACGGATGCGGGTATGTATATAACCAGATCTCCAAATTAGGGCTTGACGCACGCTCACGCATGAGAGCTACCTCTTCATTTGGTGCAGCTCTGGAAAGTGATTCCTCCGGATAGTGATAACGAGTGGCTTCATGACGGTATCATTACAAAGAGGATTGTCTGAAGGTCGGATGGTTTTCGAGCTTTTGCTGTTTTGTTGCAACTTTCACTTGCTGTTGCTATGGAAAGTTTTCTTTTGCACCGGCTACGAATAAGCTCCTTGCGTTTGTATCGGTTTGCCGGGTCATGGACAAGCCTTTTCCGATCCTCGGCTTATCCTCAGCTTTGCCCCATGTCCAGGCTGTCCCCGCGTCGAGCCAGCAAAGCTGCGTGAACGCTTAGCTAACCCTTTCATTCTGCAATTGGCTCAAGACCGACCGACACCGATCGTTCGATCTCCAGACAGCAGCCCCACAGAGCGATAACCAGCTCTGTCCCTTCGTACCGGCACTTAAACAGCATAAAATGGTTAGCGTCCGCAACGTTCTCGTTTGTGCCTCCATGGCCCTAGTGGCCACTGTGAGCGCATTCCCGGCAGACGGCCACCACCGTACTCTACAGGCCGTGAACTTTCGACAGGAAATGCTGGACAACATTAACGCAGCCCGAAAGAAGGAAGGGTTGGATGAGTTGTGTCTTAACGAAATGCTCATGGACGCGGCACAAATCCAGTCGAATGACATGGCCGACAACAACTTCATCAAGAGCACGGGGTCGGACGGAACGACGCCGAAGGAACGTGCAGCGGCACAGGGTTTCAAGGCCGAAGCGGTGACGGAAATCGTGGGTGCCGGGTACAGAACGGTGGCGAGTGTTGTCGCCGCGTGGACCAAGGCTTCGACTGCCAAGAGCACCATCTTCGGCAAGGTGAATGTTATGGGCCCTGGCTACACGTTCGACAAGACCAGGAAGTACGTGCACTTTTGGGCGGTGGACTTTTCTACGGGCGAATGCGGCAATGGAACCGCGTCCGGTGGACCTGCAACAAGTGGAGACGCCAGTGGAAGCGTCGAACTCCCGTCAAGCGGTAGCGACGCACCCAAGAGCAACGACGACAGTGGAAGCGATGCCCCGGCACCGGCTGGAAGTGATGCCGACACTCCTGCCGTCACTCCGGCACCTGCCGGTAGCGGAGCTGAGACCCCAGCCAGCGGATCGGGTGACCCCCCTGCTGCCACGCCTGCGCCTGCTGGCAGCGATGACGATACCCCGGCCAGCGGATCTGATGACGAAGAACCTGCAGCTACTCCCGCTCCAGCAGGCAGTGACGATGAGGCCCCGGCCAGTACCCCTGCCGCTGCCCCCGGTGCCCCTGCCGCTGTTCCGGCAGCTGCCCCCGGTGCCCCTGCCGCTGTTCCTGCCGCTGCCCCCGGTGCCGCTCCTGCCACTCCCGCCGCCCCTGCCCCGGCAAGTGGATTGGGAGAACCCTCTGCTACCCCTGCTCCTGCTGAGGATGAGCCTGAAACACCTCAATAAACACCTCCCATGGATATATCGGGTAGCTCTGTGTGCTCGTCGTAAAATTCATAATGCTAGATGCCTTGAATATTGTCGCTAGCACTTGTTTTGAATTCATCACTATCGAAGTGGAATATGTAAACTTCTTTTCATGGAGTGAGAACAACTGACATTGAAAGAAAAGAAGAGAAATGGTGAAGATAACGAAAAACCAAGGAATTTTGACGTTTCTTCACAAAGTACTGAAGTAAGACCGTATGCTGGTAAGACGTAAGATAGTGCTACAAACGTTTGGTTGTGCATGGATTGATATTAATACATGTACATCACTAGCCGAGCGCCGCCGGTAAATTAGGTTCAGATCTACTCGTTCTAGCCGCCTCCGCTACGCTTCGGCGGGATTACTATTGAAAAAAAAACCGCTGAACCCATGTGTACCTAAATCGATTTTTGTAGCTTATTAATTTGGGTCAGCATCATGCTTACCAGATTTATGAAATAAATATTCTAATGATCTTATACCAAGATTCTTGATGCAATCTCTTTTTTATTGCTGGCTATCACTGTATCTTCATCCTCCATCCAAAACCACCAGCACTTCAAATAACATTTATACAAACGCTACACAGTACGTTTAGTTTAGCGTCGTGCTCGATACCACGGGCCATTTCTGAGCCGCTATGAAACTTAGCTCACATCAGCGCAAACGATAATAATGGCCTGTCCAGCTTGCACTACTTATTAACACCTGCCTGCACTGCCTATTTCAGCTTGTACGTAACTAAAGATTGCTCACTTCTCATATCAAACTCAATGAAAGCTAAAACATAATATTCAAATTTTACTATTTTTAATGTATGTGGCGCTCATTTTGTGCCGATTCAGAATTCGCACTCGAATCTGTGCCAGTTATGATTGAAGCACTTAGATATTGTGTCGCAAGACGCCTTGCTGCTGTTGCTGTTGACGGTAGTGCTTTCTATTTGAATATTTAGCGATGACTCCAGGATTATTGGACGTCATTTAGGCTCCAAGTTTATTAGCGTTTCTTTATGGTGTCTATTTAGCCAACTATAATTAACACCTCTCGTGTTTTGTTGTATTGCCGCTCCATTTATACGGGTATCCTACGCCCCTGTCGGCGACCCGTCCGCCAGCTAAGTAGTATCGGATTTTGCTGCCTAACAACTCTTAGAAAACAATGGCTTACAGCTGTCTCTTAGAAAACAATGGCTACAGCAGTAACACATAATATGTGTATTACGAGTTCATTCTATTCAATCTAAAACTATGTATCTTTATGGATCAGGTGACAACGTTTATTGGCACAGCGTTGTTTTTACGGCCAGCTTCTGTTGTACGTGTACTACTATTTGGCAGCTCTAAATCAGTTACCTCACACTCAGATATGTTCTTAATATTTCTACAACAAAACATTTGTAGCTATTATTTTAGTCAATGTAACTTGCAGAAACTATTAAGAACATAGTATTACGTTTATTATAGTATGGCCGCGAAAACACGCATTCCTACGTGTACGCTAAGCACCTTGCAGCATGGGAAGCTTTCTTAAGGGGCTATTTCATTTGAGAATAGGTAACTCTGGTTAGCACTCAAATATTAAAAGCAACATGCATTATTAAAATAGTAAACACCTCGTAATATAAAATCAATCGGATTCCGGTAATGGATAGTCTTGTGCAAATCTCCATATGTGCACATGAATTTACTGATGTAAGCTACATAATCCGGTTTTAACAAATTAGATCCGCCTTCGCTCCGCTCGACAGCCATTGAGAATGCTCAAAAACCTGAGCGTTTCGTGTGACGGACGAACAGACATCGTGCTAGCCTTGACTGGCCGTTCGCCGCCGCTACGCGGCGGAGTGGCATGGTTTGTTGGAGATGTGATGGCCCCAAATTTAAGTGCTTCTGGGTGTCGCATGCTTTGTATGCGTCGTTCACCCCAGTACATCGTGGCATCGTGTATTTAACCACTTGCCTTCCGTAGTCTCATTCGGCTCCGTATAATATCGTGGTTTGGAACGTTTCCGCTACCCCGTATTACAGGTTGGATGTTGCTTTCTTCAATGGCCCATGCTCTTTGGTGCTCTTCCCGGCTACGTGGTTCCTACTGACCCGTGGCCCACGCTGCTCAGCGGTTATGCTCTCTCTCTTGTGGGTTCATGCCCTTTAGTACGGCCTTTTCGTAAATGCTAACTTTTCTCTGTTCTCAAACGTTTATGTGGGTTGAACTGACTTCGTGATAGATACTATCTCTTGGCCGTTGGCCTTCTATCGCCGGTGCTCTAGCCGAAGCGTGCTATTCCGTGGCTTGGTGTCTCCATGCAGTCGTGTTGTTCCGTCGTCCGTGTATCGTCTCTCCTGGTGAAGTTCCATCGACCGCGGTATCACACTATCGTGCAATCACGGTGTGGTAATGCTGTCTATGGTATTGTGCTACATAGTGTATCTGCGTTGTCCGTGTTATCGTGTTTTACAATGGCATCGTGCTCCACAGTGTGCAGTCGTGGTCACCCCAAGCGCCCACCTCCCCGTTTATTTTGTGGCTGGTCCGCCGTCCGTGCAATCTAGTTCTATTGTAGTACTGTCCTCCGTGGCTCGGTAAGCTCAGGTTCAACACTAGTATCGCTCTTCGCGGCGCTGTGATTTTCCGTGTATAGCTCCGCGACTGCGTTCTCCAATGGCTTAGTGGCACATTCCATGCTATCGTGCTAACTTGTAGTGTCGCGGTTGGTCTGTCGCCCTTGCTTTCGCAAGGTACGGTAGTATCGCGCTAGCCAGAGAGCTCCGATTCTACCCTATGATCGTGTTCCAATGCTTGGTGATCTCCCTTAATGGTCTACCGTGGCTTCATATTTGGTCGGTCTACTGTGCTCCGTATTTTACCGTGGTGATATGGGATAATTCCTGTCCGTGCACGCTTAGCGCTATAGGTTCTACCGTGGCTTCGAAGGTGCAGGCTCTTTCGTAGACCGTGTTTTTCAGCTTGTTGGGGTGCCAATTATATTCCGTCATCTGTACGCTCCCGTCATGTTCTTGCCATTCCAAGTTTTCATGGTAGTGTGCTCGTCCGTGGTTCGTGCTTATCAGAATCGCTAGGTGCCTTCATTGATTTAGTCCTCTTTCAACGTTCGTAGCCTTCCGTGCTTCGTGTCGCTCCTTCTATCCCATCGTGTACATAGTCTGTCTCGGTGTTCCTCCGTGTTTCGTGTTCTTCTTTATCCACTTGCCTCCGCGCTAATTCAATCGCAAATTCTGCTTTTATTTTGCTTGGTGTATGCTACATATCGTGTTGGAAAGTGCGCACAATCTCTTAAGGTCGTACACTACGCACGCAAATACAAAGGAATATGATCCTTTTTTTTCGGCGGCGGAGTGGTGTACATGGTTATGTGGGGTGGGATTGTGAGATGGTGGAAGCCACTATCTTCACATTTTAAAAGGTTCAAGTATTTAATAGTGGTAATAAATTGTGCATCTTTATCTAACACAAATATAATACCGGTACTTTGGTTTAAATTGATTAGTATTAGTAATAGCATGCGTTTTTTTTCTTGCGCAACGAATTAATTTTTTGTAGTACTGCTATAAACGTCTGCAAGCAAAAATATAAAATTCTTTAAAACTAGTATTACTCAAAAGTTTTGTGAGTTTTATTATTTGAAAGTACTACGAAGCCTAAAATATCATTCTAAAATCAATAAGTACTAGAGTTTCGATTGAGTCCGAAATATGCGTCACCAAAGCCGACAATTTTTTTCAACAGCTCCTACGAGGATATAGTACGTGTGTGCTCATCGGCGCCTTCTACTAATACTAACTAACGCACACACAGGCAGCGCCCTTTGCGTGGCCTCGCGAAGCGCAGCTGAAAATGAGAGCAAAATGAAATTTGAGCGGTGCATTTAAGTACGATGTGTAGCCCACATACATTGTGTACAAAACACAATGATGATTTAGCCAATGGGGGCCGCCTTCGCTGCGCTCGGCAGCCAATAGAGCGCCCGCATTAGCGTGAGTTTTATTAACCCTAGCCCGTTACGAACGTTACAGACGGACAACACACTCTACTAGAGGGGTAAGACTAGCCGTTCGCCGCCGCTACGCGGCGGAGGTGGCAGGCTGTAGTCTCAGGGGAAATGGGCTCACGCCTTCGCTGCGCTCCGGCGTAAACATGTTTTATGTAAACGTGATGTATTAAATGCATATGAAATTGAACATTCCTACTCCGAACCAAAGATCTGCCTGTAGACAATGTTCTAGGCGTAGACCCCATCCTCCTCCTCCAGCTTTGGGTACTCGACCAGCGCCTTGAATCTTGATCTTGAAGTAACTCGCGACATCGCAACGTACAGCTGCCCGTGGGAGAAGCAAGGCGTAGCAAGATACAGCCCCAAGTACTGCACCGTTTGTCCTTGCGCCTTGTTAATCGTCATCGCAAAGGCCGGTTGGACAGGAAACTGCTTGCGTCTCAAATGAAACGGGAAGCTCCGAATGTCTCCGTCACTGATGAAAACAATGCGGGGAATCAACACATGTTGCCCTTGTCGCTCACCTGTCATGATTGTGGCGTGGATGACGTGTGGCTTGAGGGCCACAATTCGAAGCCGTGTTCCGTTGCACAGCCCTAGATCTGGATTCAGGTTCCGCATCATCATGATAGGCATTCCTACCTTGAGGT